GCCTCGATGCGCACCCGGGATCCGAACCCGGGCCACCAGCATCGCAGCGCGTGCACTTAACCACCAAGCCACAGGGCTGGCCCATGCTCTGTCTTTTCGATGATGGGCTTTCTAGACTCGAGATCTTGATAACTCAGGCTGTTGGTATACAGAGCAGCCACGCTGCTCTCCATTTGTAACAAATTCCCTCCGAGCAGCTCTTGTCACCACACCTCAGCCTGTGTTTGGGGTTCTTGGTTCTGGTGAGGTTGGGTAGCTTCCTGGCTATTCGTTTACTCGTTTCTGACTTGGCTGTTCAGACTTCTTCACTTTTATCTATTGGTGACTTTTAAAAAGAAAATCATGAGTTAGGAATGCCCTTCTAGATGTTATATAGCCTCAGCTCACCCATTTCTCAGAACAAGTCACAAAGAGATGAAAGCAATAAATTAAAAAGGCAGTCAGCAGAAAAGCTTCTGGCCTTCAGAACTGTAGGAGAATAGATTCATGTTGTTTTAAGCTACCACGTTTGTGCCGGTTTGTTCCAGTAGCCACAGGAAACTAATACACCAGGCAACAGCTTGCTTGTCCCTTGCAGCATTTGTCAGCAGAGTTTCCAGCAAGTGGGGTATGGGGTACTGTGGCTCTGGTTTTAGATTGAGGCCTCTGCTCTGGTGCAGCACAGCCTGGCACATGGCTCATCCTCTCAAGCCACAGGAGCCAGACCCCAGCCTCTGCCAGCTTCCTGCATGGGCCCTGAAGGCCCATATCCGGAGGACCCCACACCCACCACCACTTTGCTTTACTTTCCACTCATCCATGGAGATTTCAGTGATGCTTTTTATCCTTGCTGTGTCTCTTACGTGCTTTCTTTTTGTATCTTATCTGTCATTGGAGCAGAGTGGACACCTCAGTGTGTGAACTTCACTAGAAGCCCAGAGTTTCGTTTGCATGGCCCCTCATTGGCATGGAAGCAGTGACTTGAGGAGTCACTCAGTCACAGCTTTGCAGAGTAACGAGGTGCTTGTCAGATGGAAAAGCATATACTGATGACTGGAGGTGCGGCATCGTGAGCTTGGGGAATTGAAAGATGTTCCTGTGCCTGAAAGACACAGTGAGCATCTGAACCAGCGTTCCATGGGTAGTTTTAATCCAGAAAGTAACTTCCAGAGCCTGTCGAGGAATTTGGACTTTCACCTGTGGAGTGGGAAGCTGCCACTCAGAAGAGTGATGTGATAGAAGCTGCATTCCATAGTGGTCCCTGTGGCCTCCAGGGAGAAAGGGGGAAAGACAGGAGGCAGGACCCAGTCGGATCTGCTGTGGTATCCCAAGCAAGAAGCAATAGCTGGGCCAGGCATCAAGGACCAAGGGTGTGGAGAGGCACATGATATTTGAAAGGCGGGGACCCCAGGTCTTTGTGACTGACTGAATGTGACAGGTGAGCATGAAGGAGGTGTCAAAAAGAACTTTCAGTGTCCCAGCTCAACCCCCTGCATTCTCAGCACACAGATAAGGATCAGGTGTTAAAATAAACATTTCCAGATTAAGAAGTATGTGAGTGGTCTGCAGTGCAATTGGCAGAGACAAGGTGTAGGTTTGTGGCCCAGGAGCCTCTGTGTTTGTTATCACCTATCCTCCTCTGTCCCCGACCCTCCTACCTCCCTCTTTGTAAGGATCTATGTGATGACATTGGGCCCACCCAGAAAATCCAGGACAGTCTCCCCATTTCAAGATCCTGAACTGAAAAGCATGTCCAGAATCCCTTTTGCCATGGGAGGTAACATATTCCCAGTTTCTGGGGCTTAGCACCTGGACATCTTTTGGGGACCATTATTCAGCCAAACACAGTCATGGTAAAAAAAATTTGCAAAACCCCAATCAGTGCACAATGGAAGGGGTCAGCTGAGGCAGGCAACCTGCACCATGGGCAGAGGAGGAAAGAGTGGAAGGGGATGTGGACACAGGTTTGGTGGCATCTGGTGGGTGACAGCCTTTTGTGTAGGTTGCCTTTTCCTGGTCAATGAGAGATGAGGATCCTGAGAGTTGGCTGTCACTTCTGACCTAACTAGCTTCTGAGTTCTCCGTTTCACTCGGGAAGAGAAGTTGGTGAAAATAAAGGGGGCTGAGTGATCTAGAGCCTCAGATTTTCTGCAGATCTGCTAAACTGTGAGATTGCCCCCTAGCTGAAGTCCTGGTGCCCCTGTGACACAGCCTTGCCTTCGGGTTCCTTTCTGTCTGTGAAGCCGAGTTTCTCATCCCCAGCACTGTCGACGCAGGAGGCTGGGTCGTTCTCTGGTGAGGCTGTGCTGTGCGCTTTAAGATGCTTAGTACATCTCTCACCTCTACCCACTAGATGGTAGCCAGTAGCTTTCCCCTCCACGCCTACCCCTGGGCAAGTTGTGACAACCATAAATGTCATCAGACATTGCCAGATGTCCCCTCAGGGCAAAACTGTCCCTGGTTGAGAACCACCGCTTTACGGAAATGGCCGACTTTCTCACACGTCCTGGAGGTGTGTTTCGTGTTTCTCTTGGTGGCCTTGTCCTTTAATTGAACCTGACACTCACTGTAGTGGGGGGGTGGGGTCCCTGAGGAAACAAAGACAGTTTATCAGGCAGGATATCCCCAAGGGACAGAGGGGACCTCCCTGCAGCTGGTTGGGGAAGGGACCTTTCCTTGGGATGTGCAGGGCAGGACAGCCCAGGCCCGACGAGTCAGCCCTTTGTGCACTCGCCGTGTTAGGTGTGCACTGGGGGCAGTGTGGCCACTCTGAATCGTTGTGGGTGGATGGAGCTTTTGCCTTTTTGGGGGGAGGTCGCTTTGTTCTTTTGAGTAAGTTTTTTTTTTTTTTTTTTTTTTTTTTTTTTT